AGTGCAGGGTGCTGCACTTGGGCAGTAGTAACCAGCAGCACACTTATAAGATGGGAAACTCCCTTCTTGAAAGCACAGAGGCAGAAAGGGCTCTTGGAGTCATTATTGACTCCAAGATGAACATGAGCCACCAATGCCAGACTGCAGCCAGCAAGGCCAGCCATACCTTGTCGTGCATCCAAAGATGCATCTCAAGCTGGTCCAGAGAGGTGATACTCCCCCTCTATGTGACATTGGTCAGGCCGCAGTTGAAGTACTGCATCCAGTACTGGGCCCTGCACTTTAAAAAGGATATGGCCAGCCTGAAAAGTGTTCAGAGGAGGGCCACCCGCTTGGTTAGAGGGCAGCAGGACAGGCCCTACGAGGAGCGACTAAGGGACCTGAACCTATTCAGCCTCGGCAAGAGGAGGCTGAAGGGGGGGACCTGGTGGCTGCCTACAAACTCATCATGCAAATAGGAAGAGCCCTGTTCTCCCCAGCACCACCTGGGGTGATGAGGAACAATGGTAATAAGCTGGTGGAGAATAGGTTTAGGTTAGAGATCAGAAGGCAATATTTTACAGTTAGGGTGGCCAAAATCTGGAACCAACTTCCCAGGGAAGTGGTCCTTGCCCCTACCTTGGGCAAATTCAAAAAGAGGTTAGATGATCACCTGTCTGGGGTCTTATGAACCCATCATTCATTCCTGCCTATGACAGGGGGTCAAGCTAGTTGATTTGTTCAGGTCCCTCCTGACCCTAGCTACTATGAAACTATAATACGGCACTGCGTTCATGAATGGTGCGTGCCCCCAGTGGCAGGGGGGTCATGGCTGTGCTGGCGACAGCAAACGCAGAGCTCCCGAGGGTTTCCTGTAAGTGTATTTAAGATGCAGGTTCGACATTCACGCTGTAACAAGGTAAATATTTGCGGTGCGCAGGGAATATTCAGCGCACCATGAATATTTGAAACCGCGAATGCCAAACCCGCAAATAGCGAGGGTTTCCTGTACTATCTTATGGTGGAGTTAATTCGTTTCCTGTGCCCTAATACTGCACACATGTAGATGGTACGCTCTCTGTGGACTATGAGCCACATCCCTCACAGGTCCATCCCCCTTCACCCTCCGATTCCATCCCCCTGCTGTCTGGGGCCCCTTACCAACCAAATTCAACCCCCTAGCTATGTGGAATCCCCCACTTCCCCTACTGCATGGGGCCCATGAGCAGCATCCAGAGTGCACATTACTCAGCATGAGTCCTGCCACATGGAGTTGCTCCCAGAGTTGTGTGCAGGAAGTGGAAGCTGGAAGGGGCAAAAGGGATGCTGGAGACCTGGACTGCAGCAGCAGGGATGGGTGGTAGCCAAGTGAGAGCCAAAAAGCTGCATCCAGCCTATGGGCCTCCAGTTGGACAGCCCTGAGACCATGGGTCTACCTCATCATGGGCACTGAAAATCTTTAGGGAAAGCAAACACAGTTCCCACTTTGTGCTTGGCATTTGAATAGGCCTTGTGAATAGGAGGCATTGTTGTTGAGAGACAGGTATGTTTGCAATTAGTTTAGTATTATGTTTCATATTATTGTTTGGTATTATGTTGTGTCTTCATTAAATTTTAAAATGTTAGATGGTACAGTGGAACAATTCAGCTTCACATTTTATTAGATGATAGCCTTCTGCAATCTTCCTTCTTTTATCTACAAATAAAAGAGCTCACATGCTAGGGTCTAGAGCTGCATGTATTGATTAGAACAGCTCTCTCCAAGGTTCTCTTTGTGTTGTGTTATTGACTGTGTTTTTAAGATCTAGTTTTAAAATATGGATTACAATTAACTGTGATTAACATGCATTCTGGATGAGAATAAGTTTATAAAAATATACGCTATGTCCAAACAGAGATCTTTACCACCCTCTTTCTTATTCTGTTTTGCTCTTTATTTCAAATCTAGCTTTCAAGAGTTTTGGACCTGCCTCCAGAACATTTGATTAAGTCAATATCTGCAGTTCCTGTCTCCAAAAACTGGTAGTGTTGACATTTCATGTTCTAATGAGCTAAATTGATTTTATTGTGCTTGTGGGGCTTAGCAATGCAGGTTCTCCATGAGGTTTTAGAGGAACATAAATACAGAAAAAAAATGGTATAGCTAATGTACAAGATATCATTGCTGTCTATACCAGTCCATTTTTGAGCAAAACTTAAATTTAATTAAATCACTGTTTATTTATTTAAAATAATCATTTTTTTACTCTCAAAACAGATTTCTTCTGATATTAATATCAATCCACTGAAAATAAATATTCTGCTCCCTCATCTGAAATGCAAATGATAACAATCTGAAAGGAAAATGCTTGGAAACAAAAATTTAATTAATTTTCCAAATTTTTTTCCTTGTCCTGCTTGAAA